TGCCGACCCCCACACCTCTTTAACCAACTCCATGCAACCTTCTTGTTGAAACCATGCATTGAAAAACTTAAATGGCTTAGGCCCCCAGTCAATATCTTATGTTTGAGCAAGATTGGACAATGATCTGACACTGTTCTACTAAGGCCCCACTGTCTGGCTTCACTCCACTTTGTCAACCACCCTTCCGATAGTAGAAATCTGTCTATTCTGCTCATACTGTTCCCATTAGACTGGTACCAGGTGAATTTTCTACCCACAAGAGGAATATCCACCAACTCCATTTCTTGTATAAAGTTATTAAACTCTCTCATCTCAATAGTAACTCCTCTACTTCCCTTTTTCTCCTCTTCATTCCTAACTGCATTAAAATCCCTTGCAATACACCAGTAGCCTTGTCTATCTAATACTAAATTTTTCAGTTCTGCCCATAAAACTCTCTTCCCTAATAACTGGCACGGGGAGTACACATTTAGAATGAAAACAACAACCCCCTCAAAACCCCATACCCCTTCTATTCCTATAAAATTCTCACCCTCAATTACTCTAGACATTGTGAGAGATTTAGAATTCCATACACAAAGTATGCCTCCAGACAACCCACATGCATCCTTTGCAACCCAACTGAAGTCTTCTATGCCCCACACCATTTTACATGTTTTTCTATCTATCCCTGTCACCTTCGTTTCTTGTAAAGCCAAAAAATCTATTTTTTCTTTACTCACTAAATCCCTTAACTGTCTCTTCTTACCAGCACCACCCAAACCTCTAATGTTAAAAGACAATATATTCATAATTCTGTTTCACTAACCTTCTGTTTCTTCTTTGGATCTTTTGAGCAATCCGCTTCCTTTGCTCTTCTATCACGCACCTCCATTTCATCAAGCTTGTTGATGATTTGTTCCTCATTTTCAGCAACAACCCCAATTTTCCTAGCAAAATCCCACAGCTCCTCTGCAATTCTGCGACTTGGGTGTTCCTTCAACAATCTATTTCGATTCTGTATACCACTATCTCCCACAAAACCCCTTGCAACTTCATTGTTCATGCCCGGCTGAAACTTTGGGATATCTTCTCGCCATGCTTTCTTCTCTTTTACTGCAGATCTGTTCTTCTCTCTCTGCATCAAAATTCGTTGAAGACTTGCTTTTTGATACACAGCTTTGCACAACTTTGCTCTCTTCTTTTTTCTTTTTTTTCGATCTTTGTTACTTGCAGCCATCCACCCTTTTTCACTTTCTTCCTCACTTTGCAAATCTGCCCAGAACTCTCTATTTTTTCCCAACGACTCCCCTTTTTTCTCTTGCATCTGCTGCTGTTGCTCATGCTGCGGAACAGATTCTTGCTCAATTCTGGACTCATTTTCCATACTTTTGGTTGTATCATTCGTCTGGTTAGCCCATATCTGCCCTCCCACTTGTTGTTCATTGTCACGGTCTTGGCATGTGGCCTCTAAGTTGGGCTTATGCTGTAGGCCCAAGTTATTGCTAGCTGAAATCTCGATAGGGTTTGAAGACAGCTCATTTTGTGGACTATTTTCAAATAAACCAGCCTCAACTCTACCTCCTAATTCACTAGCATCCGTAGACCCGTCAAAACTGTTAGCTACTACTTCCACTGATTGTTCTTCACCCAGCCGGCTAGAGGGGAAGCTATCCACCAGCTTGCGTCCTTTCACATCACCCCCTTCTTCTTCAAATTCAAATTCCACCTCGTTTCTCGGATTGGCAGTCGACTGTTTGTCAATTTGGCTGAAATCCCTGTTTTCTCCTTCTTCTTCTCCATCACTGGCGAGCTGTTCCAGATCAACACCCATTTACATCAAAAAAGCATACAAAATATCTGACTCAAATGTTGCCTTGCCAATTGATGGCATATTGTATGGTCCCTTAAGAGATTTTACAACAGTTGGGATTTAGAATCCAATCCGAAAAAGTAAAACTTCCTCC